AATGAAATGAAAAATACTTTATTTATCCTAGAAGGGAAATTCAATAATATATACACACAGTTGAAACCAGAAGTTTATATACACTGTATAAAAAGACATATAACCCTTTTTTTAACTGTCTAATATTAAATCAGAGCAGAACAGTATGTGAAAATATTGAAATAACATCTCAAGACATCGGCCAGGAAGTTAAAACTTGGGCACAAATGGGTCGTCCAAATGGACAATGACCCTAAGCATTCCGCCAAATTAGTTGCAAAGTGGCTTCAGAACAACAAAGTCAATGTTTTTGAGTTGCCATCCCAAAGTCCTGATCTCAATCCTGTAGAAAATTTGTGGACAGAGCTGAAAAGGCGTGTGCCTTTTCATCTATTCCTGTGTCAGGAATCGTCATCAGACCTCCAGGGACCTTAAAAATGAGTGGGCACTGTCGAGAAATGTGACTTGTTCAGCAAGGACAGTTCCAAACTTTTGAAGCTGGTCTGAAGTCACACAGGGAACGGAAGAAGCCCCTCATCAAAGAAAGGCAGAGGAAAGCCCGGTTACTATTTGCTGGGGATCACAAGTACTGGACTGTTGATGATTGGGCTAAGGGTCTCTTCAATGATGAATCCAATTTTCACTTGATGCCCACTCCAGCCAACTTACTGGTTAGGAGGAAGCCTGGAGAAGCCTACAAACCAGACTGTCTTGCCCCTACAGTAAAACATGGGGGTGGATCAGTGACCATCTGGGGTTGTTTCAGTGTGGGTGGAACAGGGCAAATGCAACTGTGTGAAGGGCAAATGAACCAGGTCATGTACAGGGCTACTCTTGAAAACAGTCTTCTTCCATCAGCTGGAAAACTCCTTCCTGCCTCGAATGACTGGATTTTCCAACAAGACAATGGCCCTTACCACACAGCAAGGTCAGTTAAAGCCTGCATGGAAAACCAGAACATTCGAACCAAGCCTTGGCCTGCTCAATCACCAGATCTAAAGCCAACTGAAAAACTTTGGAAAATCGTCAAAGGCAAAATGAAGAACCAAAAGCCCAAAAACAAAGCAAATTAGTTTGAATTTGTGCAACAAGAATGGGCTGCTGTGACAGCAGAACAATGTCAGAAGCTGGTGGAGAGCATGCCAAGATGCATGGCTGCAGTCATTAAAAACAATGGTTATGCAATGAAGTACTAACTCCTGTGTGTATCATGTGACTAAAACAGACAAAAGAAAGCATGGAATGCCTCAAAGCACTGTTTTTGGCAGTACAACACCATAGCTATTGATGTAAGAACTTAAGTGATTTTGGTTATTCTCAAGAAAACCAAGACTGATCCTTTGATTTTGCCTGTTTTGTGACTTATTTTTTAACAAGACTGATTTGTTGAGATTGAGTCAATGAACTGGTTGCACCTATATATACCTATCTTGTTGTGCACTTTTGTAATATATGTGTTTTGTAATTTATTTTACAATGTCATATCATATTATTGAGTAAGACAGAAGTGTTTTTTTCTTTTGCTTTATTCAGTGTTCCTCCTGTGCTGAGCTAAGAAAATACAGTGAATTTCTGCAGACTCCATGAAGGTGGTCCATGCTTTCAACTATTGCTTTTTATATTATCCAGTACAGACATGCCATAAACTTTTTATGGCAATGTGTAATGTAACTTGTTGGTTGGACATAAACACATGGTTTGTTTAGGAATCTAAGAATTGCTTTCACCCTGTTTTTCCCCACCTGTCAGTGTGACCTTCTTTGTTTGTCCCACCACAGCAATTATCTACTCACCAAATTGTCAAAGGTATGGGCTGTCATCAGTCCATATGCAGGGCAGTCCAACTTCTGAGTTATACGCACACCATTCTGCAATCTGTAACAAAAAACAAACAACACAGTGATGCATTTGGAACTGATTAAGGGGATGCACGAGAGAAAGTTGCCAGTCTCCCTCTGCTAATTTCTTGTTTAACCAAATTATTCCTTGGAATGGAACTAGACTGTTTAAGGAGATCTTTCCTTTAATGAACAGTACAGTGTCAGATATCATCAACTTCTCCCTACTAACAGGCTACGTAGCACAGGCTTTTAAAGTTGCTATAATAAAGCCACCTCTAAAAAAGCCTACTCTAGATCCAGGTGTTTTAGCCAATTACTGACCAATATCCAACCTTCCTTTCATCTCAAAAATCCTTGAAAAGGTCGTGGCAAACCAACTATGTGATTATCTGCATGTAAATGGTTTGAATGAAGAGTTTCAGTCAGGATTTAGAATCCATCAAAGTACAGAGACAGCACTGGTGAAGGTCACAAGCGATTTTTTTACCTTCAGAAAGTGGACTAGTGTCCGTTCTGGTTCTATTGGATCTCAGTGCGGCATTTGATACTGTTGATCATAGCATCCTATTGCAGAGACTGGAACATGCAATTGGACTTAAAGGGACTGCGCTGAACTGGTTTAAATCATATTTATCAGACAGATTCCAGTTTGTTCATGTTAATGATGATTCTTCCAGCCATACCAGAGCTGCTAATGGAGTTCCTCAGGGTTCTGCATTGGAACCAATATTATTTACTCTGTATATGCTTCCGTTAGGCAGCATTATTAGGAAGCACTGCATACATTTCCATTGTTATGCAGACGACACCCAGTTATATTTATCTATGAACCCGAATGAAATCAATCAGTTACTTAAACTCCAGGCATGTCTGAAGGACATTAAGGTCTGGATGACCTGTAACTTCCTTCGTTTAAACTCAGACAAAACTGAGGTTATTGCATTTGGCCCTGAACACCTCAGAAACTCACTATCTTCTAAAAAGGAAGAATGGTAATGTCTGAAGTCACATTCAATAGTGTGGAGAGGAAAAAATATCTTACCTGACCCAACAAGCTACTGCTATGATCAGTGCCAACGATCCAGCCACGATGAAGACGCTACTCATGACTGAGAAGAAATAGAAAAAGACAGTCAGGGGAAAAGAACGCTGTGCAGGCCTGATGGTGTTAGACGAAGACATGATCCCTGACTGAAAGCTTGGAGGACAGAGTGTAAAGTGTAAGTGCTGAAAGAAGAGCTGCTGAGAATAACTGAGTGTCTGTCCTAGCACTGCAATGCCAATACTGAAAACAACACTGATCACAGCAATGGGGTGTGGCAGAACTAATTGACATTAATATGTGAGTTCTGCTTTTTATAACCCCATACCAAATTGTGTTCAGTCATGAGATTTCAGAGCATGCAAAGCTACCATTTGGACAAAGGAAATCATTTAACTAAACTGGTCTAAATGCTCTGCAGTGTGAAGTTCTTTGAATGCCCTTACAGAGCTAAATGGGTGTTGTTTAAAAGATCTATTTTTCAACATAATCACATTTTGTATTAATGGAAAATAATAATCACAAAATTACCAAGAAAGCAGGTCCTGTTATTTTCCAACAAATTTTAACCAAAGTTTGCTCCCAAACCCCCACGGGAGCCTGTAAGACTACACATGTGAGCATCCACACACTGACCACAGCAAATTCTGTCTCTCTGGAACCGGACATCCTCCCCCTGGCATTTCTTTGCTTTTATCACATGAATGTTTTACTGGGTTGTGTGATCTGTGCATAGTAAAAGTAAAGGCCTTAACTGTATTATTATTACTGTCTTACTATATTTTTTATGCTGACTTCTTGCCTCTTGTGGGAAAATGAAGATAGAAGTGAATTGACCTTAAAGGTCACATATTTTAAAAATCCATTTTAATTGTGTTTGTGGCTGTTATAAACTTGGAAGTGTAAAATAAAAGCTGTTTAAATATGAAGAGGTTAACTTCTGCCATCCTTCAAATCCACAATAGTTAATCTCTCAGGTTTCCATGCAAGAAACTAAAGAGAATTTGACTTGATTTGTGCTATGTAACACCTAACTAACCGACAGCTATCTAGCTCAAACTGTGACGGCTGGAGATGACACATGCAGACAGTGTGTTCATCCTAAAGGAGACTGGAACAGCAGTAGCTCTCTGGGTTTTAGAACAGAATAGACTGTTTAGAACAGCCTCAAAACCAGGGGTTATATAGTCATGGTGAAATGAAGCATCTTTGCAGTATTTTGGGATAAAAAACTAAACTTTGACTAATTTGCTTCAAACAGTCTCCAAAGCAATTACTTAATTTTACACCAAATCAAAATAGGTCCATTCACAATATCTGTTCAGAATGTTTGTTTTAGGGTTTGTGTGTATTGGATATGCAAATCTCACCACAGCACTAAGGTTAGAACTACAGTTCTCCAGAGAGCAGTCAAGTTATGGCCAATAGACAGAAAAGACTTACCGATAAAGACACGGTCATTCGAAGGGTAGGGGAGTATGATGGGATCACTCAGCAGAGCAGGGGTGTGGTTTGTGGTTGTGGTGGGTAGAGCCGTGCTGGTAGAGCTATGGCTGGTGGGCTGCTCTGTGAGAAATGCTCTAGGGGCAGAGCTGGGCTCACTGAGCTGCTTGGATATGATGTCCTGGGAAGGTGGAGCTGAGATAAGGAACAAAAACTTCAGAGTCAGTACTTCAACGTGGATGTACTTGTACAAAACAAATATGGTAAATTAGTTGCCTGTCCAGTACCTGGCAGCCTTGACAAGGTTCTCTGCTCTTTGATGATGGCAGAGAGAAAGTCAATCTCTTCATCCAGCTGAGGATAAGTGCCCACCTTACCTGGAGGAGCACAAAACCAGAATCCATCACTGCCTTTAATTATTGTTTATTTTAACATAGGCTCAGTCCAGACACCCCGTCACTACTCCAGTCCTCAAAAGAGATGAAGTGGTACAAAGCAAACAGCAGTAGAAGGGTCAACAAAAAAGAAAACAAAGTCAGTGATAGCTGATGTAGTCATACATATATTTTAAAACTTTAAAACTTCTGCTGCATACATAAAATTGTATAAAGATGGTGAGAGGGAAATGTAAAACTTAAGCCACTTTTTGGAAAAAAAAAAGAAAGAAAAAAGCCTCAAACAAGGCAATGAGCTGGGAGAACAGATCCACACAATCATTTGTGTTACATCTTAGACCCACCAGTCGCACACTGACTGTCTAATATCTGACTGCTGTTTGAGGAATGACTGTACAGTGTGACCTATTACGCAATACCAATGAAAGAACAAAAGTGCTATGTGATGACATATGTCGTAAACTGCGCTATACAAATAAAATTGAAAGTAAAATTGAAATTGACAGTTAGCACATAGGTAGTGCAGTTCTTTAGATGTCGCAATAAACCTGTTTTGTAAGGTCACAGTGACATTTGACCACCATAACTGAATCAGTTCATTTTAAGTGGCAAGTAGTACTGAAAAAATAAGACAATGCAGAAGTGCCAAAAACAGTTCCTCAAAAAGGCCATTTGAGGCTGGCTCCAAAACAGGTCAATGCCCACAGACCCCAGTGTCAACATGCCCAGCGATACAGCAGAAATAAACATGTCTACAGCCTGTTATGATCACATTCTAGATAAATGGACAGATGTCTGACAACAAACACCAAAGATTCCAAAAAGCCCATAATAGAACTAATTCCTACAAAACATCAATGTTTTTGCTAGTGTTTCCTCCAGCCCTGGGACCCTGTGCTGCATTGCAGATTATGTTGCATGGGAGTTGAGTGGGAGGAAGTCACAGGCATGAGAGTGAGTGACACAATGTGTGGACGTGTGGGTGTGCTACACATTAAACTAGTGTGGGAAGATGAATGTGTGTGGAGGGCTGAACTGGAGTGGAAATATGTCAGATTTTTAAAAAAAATTATCTTTTAATGACAGTACACTGTATCTGTCATTCTGTTTAGTGAGTGGGCAAATAGATCTGTGTGTGTGTGTGTGTGTGTGTGTGTGTGTGTGTCTATGTGATTGTGTGTGAACAGATGGTGTGTGGACATTCTCAAAAACTCATGAAAATTTGCACACACATCAGAACTAGCGAAAAATTTGACATTGTATGGGACCAGTGTGTGTCTCAAAGTGGCTCCATAGCGCCCCCCACACACTTTGTAATATCTACTATGGCCAGAACACCTTCACCTACATCTACAAAATTTGTTAGGCATATGTGGCACATCAGGGTGCACAAAAAAGTCAGTGGGCACCATACCCTAAACCCACAGGAAGTCCACCATTTTGATTTGTGAGATTTTTGCTTATTTTTTTAATAATTTGCAAGAGCAAACTCCTCATAGGGGATAACTCCAAGACATCTAAAATTTGACCTGTACATACAAAAGGCCCTAATGACAATAAGTTATCAAAATCTTCGCAAAAGTCAAAGGGCGGGGCCATGGCCACCCCCTGAAGTTTGATGATTTGCCATCAAAAAGGAAGTGCTGTCTAACTACCATGTACAAGCCACAATCTGCCTCAAACTTTACATGTTTGATCAGTGTCCTGCCCTGATCACATCCATATGCCAATGTCCATTCACACTCATAGCGCCACCTGGTGGCAACAGGAAATGATATGCTTTACATTTTGATGCAATACTGTTAGCTCTTTGATCATATTAACCTCAAATGTGGTGACAAAAGCCTCAACAGGTTGATGATGACGCATGGAGAAGGCTGTGGAGAAAGCCCCTCCTCCTAGGGGGTAGCTCCCACATGCCTCAAATTTGGCCAGCACACACAACAGAGCTTGGTGATCAAAAGTTATCAAAATGCTCCACAAAAGTCTAAGGCGTGGCAATGACAGTCCTCTGAATTGTTATCATACGCCAGTAAAGAGGAAGCATGTCTAACGACCCTGTACATTCGCCAATCTGCCTCAGACTTTACATGCTTGATCACAGTCCTGCCCTGATGAAACCCATATCCATCCATCCATCCAACCACTATCTAATTCACACCTATGGACAATTTAGAATCACCAATTAACCTCAACATGTTTTTGGACTGTGGGAGGAAGCCGGAGAACCTGGAGAGAACCCATGCTGCACGGGGAGAAGAAAGAACCGGCGACCTTCTTACTGCGAGGCAACAGTGCTAACCAACTGCGCCACCTTGCAGCCTGAAAATCATGTGCTAATATCAATTCACAGTCATAGCCTTCCAGGAACTCAAGGCCCAGTTCACCTTTGCTCCCATCCTGGTACAGCCCGACCCACGCCACCAATTTGTCGTGGAGGTGGATGCCTCAGACACCGGAGTAGGTGCGGTTCTGTCCCAGCGCCCCAGGGCACTAGTTCACCTCCAGGGTTTGGAAGGCCTTCTGTACAGCACTTGAGGCCACAGTCAGTCTGACATCTGGGTTCCATCCACAGAGCAACGGCCAGACGGAGTGACTCAACCAGGAGATGGAAGCCGCCCTCCGGTGCATCGCCTCAGAGAACCTGACCTCATGGAGCACACAGATCCCTTGGGTGGAGTATGCGCACAACACACTCCCCAACGCCTCCTCCAGTATGTCACCGTTCCACGGTTACCAGCCACCCCTGTTCCCAGACCTGGAGGAGGAGATTGTGGTACAGTTGGTGGCTGCCCGCTTCCATTTCTGTGCCCGGACCTGGTGCCAAGCCCGCGCCGCCCTGCTAAAGGCCTCCCAGAAGAGGCAAGACCAGGCAAACTGCCACCATTCCGTCGCCCCGGTGTACACCCCTGGACAACGTGTCTGGCTCTGGGCCAAGGACCTTCCCCTCCGGGTGGAGGCCAAGAAGTTAGCCCCCCGCTTCGTGGGGCCATTCAAAGTGGAGGCTGTCATCAACCCCTGTGCCGCCCGGTTAAAACTCCCCCGGTCCATGCGAGTCCACCCCACTTTCCATGTGTCGCAGCTCAAACTTGTCCTCTGAACTTTGATGCTTCGCCATTAAAGAGCAAGTGCTGTCGCCTGACCCTCTGAGAGAGGCAGGGGCATCAGACCCAAAGTAGCGCATTTAAAATGTAGTGATAATTGGTTAATAATAATAACAATACAGACAATCAGAAAAATGCCAAATATTGGCCTTGATAATCGGTCAGGCCAATAATCGGTCTGTCCCTGAAAGTTATATGATTAGAAGGTTTTCACAGAAAATAATTCTTTCCTATCTTTCCTACCTAACTCAAATGTTACTTACTTTGTAGTTACTGAATGTTGTTATTTTTCTAATTCAATAGTTACTGTGTTAATTTAAACCTGTCATGTATCAATGTTTTGTGCTTTTAATTTTGTTATTTAACATAAATCGGAAGTGCTTTTATTTTGAAGGGACATCCGACAGATAATAGGGAAACTGAAAAGATGCAAAGGGAAACACCAATGGTAAAATAATGGCAACGTAAAGTTAAGAAAAGTCTGATGAAGGAAAGACACGCACATCCCCGAGGTCCACTGGGTTGGGTGCTGGATCACAAAATGTCAAAGATGAGAAAAGAAAAGAAGAACAGAAGCACGATCAGTACTTCGTAATGTATGCAATCATGTATAGAAAAATGTTTTTTACAAAAAATGAATGAATAAACACAACATACTGTTTACCTGCCGATGTGCCACGTGATGAATGCTGTGCACTATGGGTACTTAAGATGGCGGCCTCAGTCTAATGTTTAGCAGTCTGAGGAAGAGCATTTTGCTCAAAACGTCACGCCAATAAATTGTAAAAGGGAGCTTGTTCGGTGTGCGGATCGTTCTTCTGTTCTTCTTTTCTTTTCTCAACGTAAAGTTAAGAGACAAAACAAAACATAAAAGGGCGAACGCGAGACATTTAGCGGCAGTCGAGAGGGCAACAAGGTAAAATTTTAACTGTGTCTAATTGTCAGTTTGTTTTATGTTTATTGTGGGATAATTTTAGCGATTTGCTTTGCTAAATTCAATGTGCTGATGTTATGTGTTTTTGTCTAGCTCTTACGTTGATCATAGGAGAAAAGGAGGAGAGATGACAAAGTGTTAGACCATCAGTCCAGGCTTCTCATCAGGCCTGTTTCATAAGTTTATTTTTTAAATAATTCTGTTGAACCATAGTTCAAAGCAATGACTGATTTTCATTGCTTAATTTTCATAGAATTTTTATTTATTATTACTTTTGTCAGATTCAAGTTATTTCTGTGACCGTTGTGGGTTTTTCTTTCATTAACCGAGGCGTACCAACAATTTTGTCCACGTGTTTAACTAATAAAGTTACTACTGGTACTTTGTGTGTGAATGTACACAGCTCTCTGTCTTTGGAAACACTCATGGATCCCACCGCTGTCTGATGCTGCAAGTATGTAATAAACTTGAAAAATTCAGACATGAAGCAGTTCAATTGCCTTTAGATTGACAGAATGGAGTGCATATCTGAAAGTGCCTCAATAATCTTTTCTTGAACCTTCTACTCTGGGGTATTGTTGTTGAACTGAGCTGCTGTGTTTTTTCCTCAGCATTATCCCCCACTCACTGGACAGTTATTACATTGGCAAGAAAAAGCATGTGAACCTTTTGGAATTTCAAGGTTTTCTGCTTTAATTAGTTGTAAAATGTGATCTGATCTTCATCTAAGTCAAATGTATTGACAAATATAATGTGCCTAAAATAATAACAAAAAAATCTTCCATGTCTTTATTGAGAACAACCATAAAAACCTCATAGTGCTGGTGGAAAAAGTATGTGAACCCTTGGGTTAATCACCTCAAAAAAGCTAGTTTTATTCAGTTGTTGGCATACCTGGAGTCTTGTTAAGAAAATGAGTTTGGAGGTGTGGACTAGAGCTACTTTGACTGATAACAAACATGCAAACATTTTGAGAATATGCTTTTGTGAGCCATGCCTTGCCACCCTTTGGGACTGTGACTACTCTACCAAGAAGTTGGAACTCAGTAAAAATGACACCAAGAGCACAACGAAGACTAATCAGTGAGGTAAAGAAACAACCCCGGGTGATAGCCAATGATTTGAAGACAACGTCAGAACTGGCTAGTATCTGTGTTCATAAGTCTACAGTATGTAAACCATTAAACAAGCAGGGTGTCTATGGCAGGACACCACGAAGGAAGCCACTGCTTACTAAAAAGAACATTGCTGCATACCTGAAGTTTGCAAACGAGCACATTAACACTCCATAGTGGTAGGGGTAAAATGTTTTGTGGACTGCTAAAACTAAGATTGAACTTTTTGGAAAGAACACACAGCACTACATCTGGCATAAAAAGGGCACTGCATAACGTCATGACAACATCATCCAAACGGTAAAGCATGGTGGAGGAAACATTATGATTAGGGCCTGCTTTGCTGCATAAGGGCCTGGCCAGCTTTCAATCACTGAGGGGAATATAAATTCCCAAGTGTATCAAAAAATTCTTCAGGATAATGTAAGAATATCAATGGAAACTCTGTAGAAACTGGGTGATGCAACGGGACAATAACCCAAAACACCAGAGCAAGTTCACAACAGAATGGCTTCAGAAAAACAGAGTCCACCTTTTGGAGCAGGCAAGTCAGAGCCCAGACCTTAACCCAGTAGAGATTTTATGGAATGACTTGAAGAGCGCCATACACGAGACATCCAAAGAATATGCCAGAGCTAAAGCAGTTCTGCCAGGAAGAATAGGCTAAAATTCCTCCTGAGCGAATTGCAGGTCTGCTCCACAGCTACAGGAAGTGCTTGGTTGACGAAATTGCTGCCAAGGGTGGGTCAACCAGTTACTATCTGAAAGGGTTCGCTTACTTTTTCCAATACTATTTTGAAAGTTGAATGAGTGAATGGGTAAAGACCGATAGGTCAATAAATACATGAAAGATCAGATTGTTTTTTTGTTATAATTTTAGGCACAGTACATTTGTCAATACTGTTGACTTAGATGTAGGTCAGATCACATTTTATGTCAAATTAAAGCAGAACACCATGAAATTTCAAAAGATTTACATACTTTTTCTTGCCACTCTACTTCTTGACAGCACTGGCAGAGCAGTGTCATGTCCAAGAAGTTAAGTTTAGTTTTTGTCTTGTGTCAATGTGTCATGGTTTCCTGTTTTATTTTGACATTTAACTCCCCTCTTGTTTCAGGTAACTTGCTCCTTCCCCTTGTGTGTTTTCCACTGGTCTGATTGTCTGCGCTGCCCTGATTGTTTCCACCTGTTCCCTGTAACCGTGTGTGGGTATATGTAGTCTGTGTCTCTCTTTGTCCTGTGCCAGTTCGTCTTGTCTTTTGAAAGTCAGAGAAGCTACGCCAGTCCATGCCATGTTGTTTTGTCAAAGTCAGGTTTTGTATTCTTTTGATACTTTGCTTTGTGTTAACCACAGTCTTGCCTTATGTTATTTTGATACTTTGTCTTGCCTTTTTTTATAGTTACAGTTGTTTTTCCTTGTAAGAGTGATTTTTTGTTATGCAGTGTTTCTAGAAGATTTTCATCAGTTTTCTTTTGTTGCTGTTATTTCTCTCAGTGAGTGATTTTTAGTTGTGTAGTTTTCCTCTGTAAGAGCAATTTTCATTTGGAACTTTGTCATTAAAAGATTATGTATTTGAACTTTGTCTCCTGAGTCGTGCATTTGGGTTCACGCCCTAGTCCAGTTGTGACAAGCAAGACACAAAAACAAACTGTCACACAGACTCACACACACACCTAAGCAAGATAATCTGCCTGTAAAACCCCCGAGAGTTTTAGCAAGAAATTACAAAAAGACTATGTATGATGTATAATGTATTTTCAGGGTGCTGAGCTACAAAGTCAGGGCTGTTGGCAATGATAGGAGATCTCCACTGCTGTCACATACACTGATGAACTTCAAAATTAAATTGCTTAAATTTCTATCCATACATGAAATAATTATTCCTGACAGTCATAGACTAGTACTGGTGATCCTCTAAAAATCCTGATTGTGTAAGCTTGACTTCATATCAGAAAGGGGTTTTTTTTTCAAGACTTACCATGGCATTTCTAAATAAGATACTTAAATCTCAGCTGTTTTAAGTAGAACTATAACAAACCATGCAGGGCTTTTTGGCTTTTGGCATATTAATACATTTTCCAAAAAACAGAGCTGGGACCAGCTATGTAGTCATAGCAAAGGTCTCTTACCTACCTTTAATAGACTGAGCAGTTTTAGGACCATGTCTCCGCTTGACCACACAGAGACCATAGGAATTCTCCACCAGAGGGCGTAGGCAGGGGCCGCAGGAAGAGCTGCCTGGCTGACAGAAGTGTCGTCCTGCCTGGGCACAATCTAAACTTCTTGGGCACAGATGAGAGCCTGTGGAGGAGGACCCAAAACAACCATTCATTTTCATGCTTTGAACTGAAACTGCTCCAATTTCTATTTTTATATTCTTCATTTTTATTCAGCAAAAAATACAATTTCATTATTTCAATTTTCATGTTTTCTCTAGCTGATTTTGATAGAATCAGTTCAACATTTCAAAAAATACCCTGCTTTGCTTTCTTCCAGGATGAAATGCGTAAATCTGATCAACCAGCTGTAGCTGGCAAAATCTCTTTTAAATTACCCCAGGAACAAATGTCAGCTTTATTGTTTCCTCACCCACAAACTAACCAATTAGTCCACAGCCCCGGACCCGAAATTTTCAGTATCGGTACCACCCAAGGTGACCAATTCTTTTTGGTATTTTTAACTTGCTATATGTCTCTAGTTTGCATTTATATATGATAGCCCTTGCAGACTCACAGCTTACAATGTATTATCACTTGTCTCATGGACATGGCCCATGATGAAAGGCGTTGGGTCTGAGCCAAAAGTCCCATCAATGCGAAGGGACGGGATTTGATAGGATTGTTCCTCTTTACAAAACAATAAGAAATGCCACATGCCACACATCATCATCTGTAGTAATAACTTTACAGCACAGAACAATACTACAACAAACTTGAGACTGAGAAAGATTTCGTTGCTATGTTAACAAGATT